CCAAGGCGCCTTATGTGCCAATCCCAGCTCAGCCTGGTTCAGTGACCCTGAGTGGGGGGTGAAAGGATTAAGAAAAGACAGACAAGAGAATGAAAGCTGGGTCTCGGTGGGACACTGCTCCCTGATGAGGAGACAGCGCCAGCGCCCACAAGCTGTGTCTTTATTTTATAGCAGATGCCACGAGGCAAAGTAGGGGCGTGATCACGTTGTTTACAGCATTCTTGTGAGTTTCAACCTCACTTAACTACATGCACCTGAACTCTATCACAAGGCACGTGGGGCTACGTGTTTGGACCATAGGTTCAAGCTTACAACCACAGCCGTTGGTTATAATTGTACTGGGTGGGCCCTGCCCTCCAGCTGGGACTTGGACGTGGCAATGAGAGGACCCTGTCCTTTCATTAGTCCGAGGCTTGAACCTGGCCAAAACACCGTAACGGCGTCCCACATCTAATATAATCATGACCTCATTACTGTGGCGTTCCACCCATAATCATGACCTCATTATTGTGGTGTTCCACCCCTAAGAGGGAGGGTGCAGGGAGCTGTGGGTGCAGCAGGGCTCATGAGGGGCCAAATCGAGCAGCCACCTGTGGAACACTTAAGTACCTAAGTACTGGGGTCTTTGGTGTCTTTTTTTTTTTAAATCCTCATCCTAGGATATGTTTTTATTGATGAGAGAGAGAGAGAGAGAGAGAGAGAGAGAGAGGAAAAAAGGAGGGAGAGCAAGCAAGCGAGAGAAACCGATCAGTTGCCTCCCGAATGTCAGGGATCGAACCCGAAACCTAGGTATGTGCCCTGACCGCCCTGACCGGGAATTAAACCAGCAACCTTTCACTGCCTGGGACGACACTCCAACCAACTGAACCACGCCAGCCAGGGCCGTACTTGGGTCTTTGAAAACCATGGGAATCGTGCCAGTCTCGGGTTTCGGTTTAAGGCTTGCATAAAATAAAAGGTCCAGAATCCTAAGAATTGGCGGGAGGGAGGAAGGACAGGGACCAGTAGCTCTGTGTGGGCAATGCAGGGGACACAGTGGACACCTGGCATTTTTCTTGGCTGCTGAGGTCTGAGCCTCCTTTTGGGGTTGGGGTGCCTCGCTTTACAAGCCTTTGGAGGGGCGGCTGGGACCTAGGACCATGGCTGCACCAGACGCCGACTCTCTGGGCAGATTCAGGAGGCTGTGTCCCCAAGAACCGAGGTCCCCAGAGAACGTCCTCAGGCAGCTGTGTTGCTGCAGCTGGATGGGGTCCTGGGAGCAGTGGTGGTGGCGATGCGGGTCCAGGGCCTGGGGTCAGCGGGTCAGTGGAGCAAGCTGCAGCCTCGGCTGAGGGGTGGGGGTGGGGGTGGGGGGTCCAGGCTGCCTTGTCAAGCAGGGAGCTTGGGATTGGCTTTCTTTTGTTTTGCTTGAAACAATGATTGGCAAGGCAAGCCTGCGTCTTAAACACTGGCTGCTGACCAATGGCCTAGAGAAAAGAAACAGTTCTCCTTCAGGAAGCAGACATCCTGGCTGGGGTAGAGTGGGGGTGGGGACCTTGGGCCCAGGGGTGCCTTTTAAGGTGTTGTTTTGCCACCACTTTAGGAAGCCCTTGGTGAGCTGGCGTGGGACAGGCTGGCTGGATGCCGCGGTGACTGGATGAATGAGACAAGTCTGCGTGTGCACATTGTTGTGGTAGAATCAAGAACATAATGGGTTTCTTTCCCAGTTCCTGGCACAGGCTTCAAAAACCCTTGGAATTTCCTGCGAGGAGTATCTGCTGTGCTAATAAGGTGACTCAGGGTGGGTCCCCAGGCCGTTTCAGGATGGGGCTGGGCACCAGAAACACCCACCACGTGAGGAGAGGTGGGGACTCCAGCCAGCAAAAGGAGAGGGCGTCAGAAACTGAGTCCAACGCCTGCCCGCCTGCTCCGTCAGACCTCAGTGACAGCTCTGGACACAGAGACTCAGCGGCGCTTCCCCGGAGTCAGCGCATCCAGGAGCTGGGAGGGTGGTGCTGCGTCCCCGGGGAGAGGGCCGGAAACCGCGCTCCCTCCCAGATCTCACCCTGGGTCCCTTCATTCAGCTGCTCCTGAGTCACAGTCTCAAGCTGTAATCATAGCATTTTCAGTGGGTTCCGTAAGTCATTCCGGAGAATTATAGAAACTGAGGGGGTCACGGGGACCCCCAGTTTGGAGTCGGCGAGTCAGAAGGGTGGGTGTCCTGGGGACCCCAGTGACAGCTGGTGTCTAAAGTGGGGGTAGTCCGTGGGGGACTGAGCCCTTAACCTGGGGCGTCTGACGCTGATTCTGGGTGGTTAG